ACACTTCGAACAGACCCGGATGGAAGCAAAAAATATTACTGCCTCAAAGGTTGTGAAAGTACAACCTATTGTTACACCGAACCAATTCCGGTGGATTATCTCGACGTGAGTAATTCGGTGGTTTGTGTTTTCTTTTGATCGCACGGTAGACAGCTGATTTTGTGCACTAATTCATTGTCGTGTTGCTGAAGCTGCTTTTGTTAAGCTGTACATAGGATGTTTCACACAGATTTGAAATTCTTTGAAGTCGTTCCTCCTCCTTTCCATAACGTTATATTGTCAACAGTAGGATTAATTCAACTGCAAACTAATCCTCCGGTGTTCAGCTTTACATTTTCCAGTAACTCACCTCTCGAAACCCCAAATTGCACTAATATTTCGAATGCGCTTTGATTGGCTGGCTTCAGACCACATTTCTTCTTGATCCTCTTTACCTCCCCTGGTCAGTACTGTCGAGAGATGGTCAATGGTGTACCCACAAAGACCGGCACACGTGGATCAGGAGTGGCCGATACCGATTTTCTGGTTGTGGTGGACGCAGTTCAAGTATCCGCATGCGGCACGGGTCTGCTGGCATTTGCTACGACATGTCAGATTGATAATCAGTTGAATCGGTACGACGGTACGACTTCTCATTTCTCCAATTTACACTGACTCAGACCACCCACCCGGTCAATTGTACCCGATTGGTTCTTCATCGTATTTGTTTTAAACATCTATATCTCGTGATAAATTTGGACAGGCCAACCAGAAGACTAACACACTGCGGGAGAAAATTCCTTACCTATCTCGTAAAGAATGTGTATGCCATGTATGCGTGCCATGCATTTTTGTAATGCTTTTTGCTCTACGGTCCGGACACGTCGCCTTTCCGGGCAGGTGATGTCCAAGGAGAATCTGTTTTTAGCAGCCTTTGACTGCCCAGCATCACCCTCCTATAGTGAGAGCATCGCATGAGTAACAAAGACGCCATGTGTTAAGGTCAAAAAGTTTTCCGTTCAGTAAAGCCATTTCTCTGCAACATTTGAGGTGGTTGGGGCACGTCCTAGGAATATACCCGACAACGTCCCCTCTACGGTACGTTATTTATAGACGTTGGGCCAGGCTGGACGGAACATTGAGGTGGGTAAGCTATGACGTGGCTTAGAGGGTTGATGAAATTGTGTTCAGATCTGATTTCCGTCGGGGATCCCCGGCTTCCAAAAATGGGCCTCAGAGATTCAGACTGTCGTTGGATGCATGAGCTGAGCGATATGATATGGGACCGAAATCAGTGGTATGAACGCATCTTTTTATGTTTGCGATTCCGGAAACAAGACAAAAAAATAATTCAAAACTTCTTTCAGTAAACGAAAACAAACTCGAAACCGATTGGTTTTATGCTGTGGTTTTCTGGTTTACTTCTTTACCTTTCTTTCAGTTCACGGTTACTTTGGAGTTGGATCTATTAAGTTGGGCGTAATGTATATGTAGGTATTCAAAATGTGACCGGTAAGAGTATGCGAAAAGAATCTCTCTCACAGTGTTCGTCCTGTTCCTGCCTATTCAGATTCGTTGTAGTTAGGCTGAATTCTGGTTTTACGACGTGTGCAAACCATTGTATTCGGGTATTCCTAGTTATGCTCTCACATGTCATAGAGCGGAAAAAAAGTCTTACATAATGAGAGCTATTGGCTCGGAGGCAGAGAGTAGAGTGATGTATGTGCGCGTATGTTAGTGTGTGTGTGTGCGTGTAAGAATGGTTAGCGTGTTAGTTGATGTGAACTTTCCCCATTGGTTCAAGTGACACGTCATGTTCTGTCTTGGTTTATACACCCGACCAATGCGATTGGAGCGCCTGCACCAGTCTCTTTTGGGCACACAGGCTGGGGCCTAGTAGGCGAATGGTAATCGCCTCGGCCATAGCTAGTGTCCTCGATCGGTTGAGTGGGACACGGTAAACAACATCGAAAGCTTTTTCCGGTTCGATCTTGTGCCCAAGGTCGCCGAGATGCCCGATGATTGCGCTTGAGATACAGCGGGTTTTTCCGACTTAACCATCGCCCGTGGTGCTCCTTAATGCGTTGAGATAAACGCCTCACCGTATGGCCTATGTAACATATGCCGCAGATAAACTAAAATAATAAATTATCATGGATGGGGTCAGTTTCGGTAGTTTGTTTTCACTTGTATTCACATCACCGGTGATGTAGAGAACACTGGTCTCACTTTGCCTGCGAGGAAAGTGGAATTTACAGCCCCTCTCAGTGACTGTACTAGGCTTTCTGTGTGTGAGCCCCCCTTAAATGAGATCCTTATGAATAATCCTTTCTTGGGGGCACAGATGGAGTTCTCTTTTTCCGGAGTGAGCTGAATATTCTCGTCATTGAACTTTTCCGGATAACCATTGTCCTGCAGCATTTGATGGATGGGGCATAGTTCTTCATCCAGTGTGTCCGATGAACAAATCTTTCAGGCTTTCAAGGCCAGACACCGGATTAGATTAAGTTTATATTTCGCAGAAACAATACTATAGAATTTGGTGTATTGACCATTCCGTGCTTTCTTTCTGTCTTTATGTCTTCTCACTGATCCATCTACTTTCTTGGACACGGCTATATCCAGAAGGGTCAATATGTTGTATTGTATTGCATTATGTATAACTTTTGCAAGCACTGGAGCTTACGTTTCAGTTAAAAAATCATACACATCGACCGTCACAAAGTACATATTGAACGGGGAGAAAATGGTTTTACAGATATGGGGACATTTTATAATCGAAGGTTTAGA